CGAGGTCATCTGGAACATGTCGCGCTGCTGCTGCTGCTGGTGCTGCTACCACCACTCCACACCGCCAGGGCGGCGGCTGGGGTTGAACTACTGACCTCTACGCCTGATGCTGATATTTGCGATGCTCCTCCTACTAGTAGTGGCCTTCTGTCAGCATCAAGCAACGACATGACATACCAACTATGTACCAGTTTAATGAATTGCTGCAAAGGCCGCAAGCTGGAACTTAGCCCTGGGCACTCTCATCAACTGTCTCGACCCGTAGACCATGTGGCTCGTTGCTCACGGAAATGCGCCCAAGATTTGGGACCTAGGCCGCGGCAGGCTGAACCCTAAGCCGCAGCAAGTCGAGATGCGAGATGATATGGTTCAACTGCGTGCAAACGAACATTTGCCACACTTTCAACAATCTCAGGTACTGTTAACTGCTGGACATACGTAATCCGTATAAACAAAACCTGCAATCGAAGTTGCTTGGATCTTCTTGGCTGTATGGAGACCTGTACGGATGAAGATCGTTGCGCGAGGCTCCACCAGATAACCGGACCTGCAAGACCGGTCTCAGCGGATTGAAGCCGAGCCCTTGAGCACCAGACCGGCTTTGAAGCTAGTGTTTCTGACAAGGGCCTGCAACTCACATGCATGCCTGCATATCAGCCAACTGCCATGTAATATGAGCCCTGACTGCAAAGCCCTTTCTGATTTCATTTATTCTGGCTTACTTTTGATCTCTGGTGCATGCTTCAGGCCAAGGATTGCCAAGGGACATGATGGCATGCTCCCCCGGTGGAACCTGACCACAGACACTCTGATAAGCCCTTCGACACGGCAAGTTCGCAAGGACGAATTTCAGCATGATAGAATGCCAAAAGAATGTCTAGTCGTGGACCGGCTGTTGACCTGGACCCACCTGCCTAAGTCGACACTTGCAGCTTCCCTCGTGTGGGCTGCAGGTATGTTTTCACAACCTATTTATTTGCAATGGCGAGGTCGAGGTCTTACTGGCCTGGCCGGGACTGTTGAAAACTGTCGCCCAGCATTCGCTCGTGTAAACAAACATCGTGATACCCAAGCACGAGCGACGAAGAGAGCGCGACAGAGCGAGAGCCAGATGTATACGAGTATACGCTTACCCACAATTAAGGCCAATGTGTTTGCTCACTCATTACTCACTCTCCACTACGCATCACACGCTGTTTGCCATCACGGCGATGACGACCACGACTAGTTACCACTACCACTACCAGCACTACCGGTGCTAGTACTAGTAGTTAGTAGTAGTTTGTGTCGACAGCACCGCGGGGTCTCGACGATCAACGGGACGCAAAGCTCACCAAAGAGACCCAAGAAATAATTCAAGCAAAAAGCGAACCAGCTAGGCGCTTAATCTGTGCTTCGAAGGAAAAACGAGCTGTCGCAATCTTGATTGTGCGATGACTCCGATCAGACTTTGTTGGACTAGTGGCATGTAGTAGTAGTCGTCGTACTACTACTACTACTACTACTACTACTACTACTACTACTACTGCTACTACTCCCACTAATGTCAACCTAGGACGACTAACATACGGTACTGGTGGTGCTGCTACACAGGCGGCCATCACTACAGCTACTGCTAGTGCCACGAGTTATAAACAGGGGACTGTCGTGCGGCAAGTCGTGCAGTGTGAGTATAAGTGTCACCGGGAGAAGTGAGAGTGGAAGCAGAGCTCTTGTAACCCATCCAAAGCATCTCACATCGCTCAAGTCGCTTGCAGCGGCATGGCCTGTATCTTTCCAAGGCGTCCCTCCGCGTGTTTGCGAGCTCCTGAACATGACCGGTGCTACGAGTATCTACGAGTATGGTACCTCTTGCAAGCCGACTTGCTCAAAGTGGTCCGACTTTCAGCAATAAGGCTCTGGACTGACAAAGCCTGTCCTCACTGAGTCGAACATGTTCTTCAAGCTCAAGGAGAAGCTCCTCCCCCAAAACCTCACACTGCGCTGCGTCGTGCTGCATCTAGAGAGTCTGGACCTAGCAGAACGGCCTCCTCTTCTGCAGAGAGCTGGCAGAACATGCGCTCCAGAGTCTCACCTGAATCAAAAAAAGGGATGTCCTGGACGCGGTCTTTCTGGTGTAGTGATCACATCGTGAGCATTTGCTCGCGGACACTACCGTCCGAAACTCGACCGCTTTGTTTTGGCACCCTGGATACACATGCTAGGAAGCTCTTGCCTGAAACGTCACCGGACTCTTGCATCCGCATGAAGTGGCGCTGTGCCTGCAAGAACAGGCCATAGGGGATGCTGAAGTCATGAGTCGTCGAAGCTTTCGACGCTTGGGACCTTTGGCACATCGGAAACGCTGAGAGCCGACAGCCTCAACTGCGAGGAACATGAACTTCCTCTGCTTGAACTCCTGCACGGCACTGGGCTCGGATTTTCAACCCCGCCGTCTGAAACTCGGATGAACAGACGCGTCGCCTGCTTTAACTCCACTGCAGGACCCTGTGCCCACTGCGTCCGAACCCGGCAGATGCCCTCCTGAGCCCATTCCTCTTCTTCTTCGGTGCTCGGCCCGAGCTCCTGACTCACGATTGAAGCTGTTGGACCAGTCTCTGTGCTTGCAGTCTTCGTGGCATGTGCAAAATCATGCCGCTGCAATAGCGGCACATTTGTGCATGCCGCGCTTCTGCAAATATTGGTCTCTTGGATGCGGTTGTCGCATCCGCCTGTGGTGCTCTATCTCTTCACGCTTCAGTGATCAAGAGAGTGTCATGAGCATGTCGTTTCTGAAAGAGGGCACGAAAGCACTGCGTTTCTTTTTTCCTGCAGTGCACCACCAGGGCCGGAAGAAGAGCAAAATGCGACCAACAAGTAAAAGCTCGACCCATCGGAACAGTGCATAGCGGAATGCCTTTCAGCATAGAAAAGAACAGTAAGAAGATAAGCCGGAAGAATGAAAGCCGCCGGAATTCTCTAGTGCTCTGCAGATGAATGAGCATCATTGCATCTCCCATGTCATGGTCGCGAGCATGGCTGTGAGCTTGAGCGGAATGAAATCGAAAAGCCTCAACACTCAAGGACCAGGAACAAACAGAAGATAGAGCTGCCTGTGTTCAAAGCAGCCCCGCAGGAACGCACGATGAGCGGGAGGCATGCACCCGACCTCCCGCCCCCGTACTCCGAAAGCCACTGCTTGAGAAGAACAAGCTGCTGGCAAACACAACAAGACACGGACTGACAGCAGAAGCTCAACTGCAAACGTCGCTGGATATCTGCACATGCTACACAACATGGAGTTGGAGGTAGTTGAAAGTATGCTGAGCATTTATGGTGTAACCACAGCACATATAGATAACTTTTCCAGCTGTGTCCGAACATGCAAAAAGCCAATCTGCAAAAAAACACCTCACATGGCTATGGAAGAGCCCATTTTCCACATCCAAATCACGACCAACAAAGAGTACTCAGTACTCTTGACAAACGCACTGTGCTGCAACAGTTGGTTTTACCTTGCACATTCGAAGGCAACAGCCAGTGCTTGCCTTTCCACAAATATCAGAACACAGCACCATGATCGCCACGCAGACGCAGCAGGAGGAGCACCAGCACGAATAAGTGACAAGGTCGGGCCAAAAAAAAAAAGGCACGTGTCACTCCCAAGACTCTGCACGATACAGCATGCGAAACTCAAGCTGTAGTATGCATTTCCACGTGCATACAGCCTAGCCTGTGCATGCCTATGTATGTACCATGAAAGCATACACCAATGCATACTACGCATGCAGACTCATCCCTTCATTCATCCATTACATTTTATTCCATTCATCCCTTCCATTGCAGTCCAGTCCAGTACAGTGCAGTCCATACCGTTTCTTCATTCATCAAGTCATTAACTGATCAATTCGTTCATTCACTCAGTCCTACATGCAGACATGGATTCACACAGACATAAATTGGATTCACACGGACATAAATATATGCATACATGCATGCATATGCACGTACAGGTATGCAGATAGAAAGCTGTACTGTGTCAGCATGTCATACGATGGGTAGACGGTGAAGCAATATGCAAGCATTGCTAGCAGCAGCAGCAGCAGCAGCAGCAGTAGCAGCAGTAGCAGCTCAGTAGCATGTCGTCTTGTTGGTTAGTAGTGGTTGCTGAAGCTGTGAGGTGCGATGAGACATGAAAAGTGCACGAAAGAGACATTCAAGTATATAGCGAATCTTTCTGACTGCCTACATTTACATGTGGAATGCGCATCCGTCTGCCTGCCTGCTTGTCTGTGCGTCTCTCTGTCTGTCTTTTTGTCTGTCGGTTGGTCGGTCTGTCTGTCTGGATGTGCTGCATATGGCGTTAGGTACTGCAGCAGACGACATAAGGCTAGCTCGTCGCGTGCACATGAAGATACGAAAAGACACGATCAACATACCATGTGTGTGTGTCAGAAAAACCGGACAGTGTGGCTTCTCGTCCTTGTCTGCTGCCAGATTCAAAGCTTCCAGTAGTGCTCCACACCTCAGTTGGTGTTCACTTGTCAAGCTGCAGCGGGTACGTCGCGTCTGCACTTCTTTCCAAAGCCCGACGGTGGGCAACGAGCACGTAACACTACAAGGCCAAGTCACAAGCGCCACCTTCGCTACTTGTACTTCCCGCTGTCTCACTGAGTTCTGGGGTCGGGGCCTGGCAACTTGCTGCAAAAGCTCCGACGCCATCGGCAAATGCTCCAAGCTCGACCAAACGACCGGGAAGTTGCCGTGCATGTTTGTTCTCTGTCTCAAAGAACTCATGAGCCAGCTGTACGTGACATGTCGAGCTATGAGCCTTCACATCTCCAACAATGCCTGTTGAACAATCACTCCAATGCGTCCTCCATGTTTCGCACGGGAAACACACGAATGCCCATCTTTGCATGACTGGCTACTAATTATTTGAACGCTGGAAACCGACACAATCCTCAACCCTTTGAATGCTGTCTGCGAAGTTCAAGGCCCGAATCGCCCAAGTCACCGTCCTTAGGAAAGGCACCCATGAGAAAGCGAAGGAACTGGCCGGTACCTTGCACAGAAAAGCTGTGCGTCCGTGGGGATACGTGCTGCATATTGCACTGGCGAATTTGGTGATAGAGTTATACAGTAGACCGTCTCAGGTACAGATTGGATCTGGGCTGAAATGTAGATTTATCCGGCAATCAATCTCTGCGACCGTCGACATGAATCAGAAAGCATACCACTCCTGTCCCCATCACGTCCTGCCAATCGCCCCTTAAATCCGAGTTGGTGTGCAAACTCATGACCCTTGAGGTCCCAGCACGGGTGGTACAACATAAAGCCAGTCGAAATGACCTGCCAGTGCTCAAGTCACAAGAACCTCTCAGGCTGAGACGCCGCGCAGATGTGAGATCTTGGAGACCAAGTCAGCTCGGCTTGTGCCAGCGTGACGCCTCCTAGGCACTTCTCGCACGCCTTGCTTTTTCTAGCGTGCTGAAGCCGGACACAGACCCGCGCGCGTGAAGCCGGGACCCGCTCCTGCTTGTCATTGCTCTTCAACTTGCGGGAATCCAAGAACCACTTCACCAGGTAAGCTCCCGGCCTGGCACGTGACACTCAAGGCCACAGCCCCTCTGCGCTGGCCCCACTCTCCAGCTGCAGGCCAGCCTCCCAGTTGGGTGGACTTGCATGGTTTGCGAATCCAAGTACTCCCTCATCGGCATGACTAGGCCACCAAAAATCTGTGGACACTGGATTAAAAGCACAATCGGGCAGTAGCGAAATTAAACATCTTGGCACTGCTGCACCGGCACTTCCCGAGTCGCAGACCCAGCAGACGGGTCAGCTCACAGATGTAGGCAGCATACTCGGGTGTCAGCAGAACCCAGTTTGCCTCGCCCAAATTGAAGACAAGATGCCCGGTACAGTAGCCATTGCATGCCTCTATCTTTACAACTCTGCTCGTCGTGAAAGCACTGACACGACTGAAAACCGACAGCATCAGTGGTGCTTCGAGTGTGCCTGCACTATATGTCTGAGGCTTGGTGCAAAGACTCCAATTTGCAACGCCGTACTGGGGAATGGCAGCATGAGGACCCTCGAGATCGAAGCTGCCGAGTCCAATGCCCGCAGCACGAGAACATGCGGGAAGCTTCGCAAAGCTCGCATGGTAATCCTCCCACCGGTGAATTTTGTCGATTTTAATGGGCAGCAAATCAACCCGAGTAAGCTGAGAGGACGATGACATTTTGCCTTCTTGACGTGCTTGCGCGCGCGCTCTCCACGTCATGAAATCGAAATGGTGAAGGGGGGTCGAAAAAGATTGCGAGATTGTCGGAGACACGACACGCGGCCTGCAGGTAGTAGAGATAGTCCCACCACTCCTGCACCTCAGGCTTGGCAGCTTAGAGAAACCTCTGCAAGGACACATTAAACTTCTGTTCCTGCAACGCACTTCGGACTCACAGCGTGATGCCGCTCAAAGACTCTAAGATCGCAAGCATGAACAGTTTGCTGGCAAATTCCACACTGCATTCCGTGCTGATCTTGCAGATCAAAATGGCGTGCCTGTTCCGCAATACTGGGCCTCTTGCGGTGTACTCCGGAAGCGGCAAGTACACGTAGGGCTCTGACCCGAACCTCGTGCTGCTCTCCGGAGCTTTCAGCTCAGTGCTCGTGTGTCCAGCAGCTTCAGCCCATGCAAAGAGGAGTTGTGTTGCGGGCATAAAGCACGACACGAGCCTGGATCCTGAAACTCTACATTATGGTAGCTCTTCAAGATTACTATGGCCTGACCATTTCTGCACCAACCTGTGCGACTGAAACAATAGACTGCTGCGAGTGGCAAGACTGTTGCTACTTGAACGGGGCAAACTCAATCCGCAAGTATTCAACTAAGTATTCGCGGCCGGCAGAACGTTGCACAGTAGTCTCGAACCCAAACAACCGATTTCTCCACCGCCTGTTGCGGCCAACCACCAGTGCCTTCTAGGGCAGGCGTATCACCGGAAGCTGGGGGAGCGGCTCATGACAACAGCGCTGGCGGCACGAGGAGTGGCGAGGGAGCTGAGAACCCAGGCTGCAAGCAGAACACCGCACAAGAAAACTGGATTCCCCAGAGTACATGAGCCCGGAAGCGTGGCGACCAGTGCTGAGGCTACGGGCTGTGGGGCACACGCAGCGGCTTCGATGAAAAACACAGAAGCCAGGCAGGGAAATGGATTCCATAGCATGACGGCGCACGGAGTCCATTGCAACCAGCAGCTGTGTCTGCGACCTTTTCCAGCACTTTCGCAACCCGAGTCTGCAATGTGATGCAAACGTCCAGCCTGTCTCAAGGTATTCGTCTTGAAGATATCGTGCAGGCATTTGATGGCATTTGTTCTCACTGCCGGGAACGTAAACTAATTCACGGCTAACACTTGTCAACCTGCGGACTCCATGGAAGAGATTCCCTCATTCTGGGAGCTTCGAGTCACGACACGGCTAGGTCGGAGGTGGCGGCGGCGCGGGTGGGATGCCTCTAAACCGAGACAAGGCTTCCCAAACACTTCAGCATGCGGCCGGAAGACCGCCTGTCCCTTCTTCGTCAGGCGCCAGCAGCGGCCGCGGCGGCGGTGGCGGCGGCGGTGGCGGTGGCGGTGGAGGGACGAAGCGTGGCTTCCAGTGCAGGAGCAGCACGTCTCCATCCTCCCGAATGCCGTGATTAGCCCTGCATGAGCGATACATGGCCTAAGGGTGGCTGGAAGAGTTGCTGGGTGCTTCCTGAGCCCCGTCTCGCTGCTTCGACTTCTGCTTTTCTTCACATACACGACTCGCACGAGCTGACTCGTGTGCTACCGTACTCTCGCATCCAATGAGATGCATGTTTGCACGAGATCTCTCACACCAGTCCTCGTCTTCCATGGGCTTTTCCGGTGCGCGCGGATCCAGGCCCGGGCGGCCTCCCACAGAAACGCAGGCAGAAACTCGAAACCCAAGCCGGGAACCCTGCGAGTGAAGCCGGCAAGCACCAGCCAGATATAGCACGATGTTCGGTCGCCACAGTCGACATCCAGCACAACATTTCTAGCGGCACCACAGGGCAACCGAAGGTCTCCGACCTACCGGGCGGCCGAAGTCGGTGCACGGCCCAGGTGGCAAGCACTTCATCGGCCTCACGAAAAGAATGGAATTAGATCCAGGAATCCAAGTGTCACCAGGTAGCTGCAGCCTAGCAGATCCTAAGACAGGGAGTCCGGCGACCCCTGGTGTCGAGGCACAAGTCCAACTCTTCATCCTCGCCAGCAGCGCCCAGCAGCGGCTTGTAGCAGAACACCTCAAATGAAGTCTAGGGAGCCACGCCCTTTTGACAAGGATCGGAGCGACGTGAAGCACTTTCCGAGCCGCTGGCCCTCTCGTGTTGATCCTCAGCCCAGATGTGCGGATCCATCTCGGGCTCTGACGGTCGTCCCGTGTCCTGAGAGGTCCGAGGGAACCCCAGACTTCCCCCTTTTTTCGTCCCTGCAACCGAGACGCCCTTGCCATGTCCACGAAGCAGGGAATGTGCTCTGCAGGGCCTTCGGGACTGAGCTTTGTGGGGTTACTGAGCAGCCTGCGGTTCTGCGCAACAGATTCACCAAGCTGCGTCTTGGTGACAGGATCAACTCCTCGAAGTCGTCCACCTCCTCACTCGGGCCATCAGTCCTCGGCATTGTGGGCATGTGAAGCAGCGGCAAGATAGGTCTCTCGACATTTCTAGCTCACCTCTTCTTTGCCACACGTGAATGTCCAGCAGTGCAAAGTATGTAGGATAGTTTTTTGCAGGAAGCCACTGACAAACTGAAAGCAGGTCCAGCAAGCGCCGAGCAGCACCTGTTCAAGTCGAGGCTCCTGCCCAGCTGCCGGTCCATGTCCACAAAGCCGTGAGCTCTGGGATGCAGCAGATGCCGCTCGGCCTGGACAGCAACAAGCTCAAGCCTCATCGCTGGCTTGCTGGCCGGCACGACCCCATCCACAGCCTCCAGCGAGAGCAGCAGCACCTGGTTTGTTGCGGAGAAAGGATCGGAACGCCATAAGGAAGCGCATCACGGGCTGCTGGTGGAATACTGTAACCTATTGCTGCACCACCTGGAACAAGCATCATACAACCACACAGTCAAGGTCTCGGAGATGGAGAGACGACAGGAGTTGCAAATGCTTCGAAGGCACATCGCCCTCTACATCTTCGTCCTCATCTAATTTGGCGGAGTCTCCTCAGCGTTGGCGCTGCGAGCAAGGAATGGATGAAGCTTGCGATTTTGGGGCGAGCGGCGTCCCTGTGCCAGGCCGAAGTCTGCTTCCGGCGCCCGTTCATGGGTGATGCGCAGGTCCGGGAGGGAGTAGGACAAGCCTAGGACGGCAAACAGGCGATCGGAAGCCGGCAAAGCATCGCCCTTTTTTTTCCAATGACCCTTCTCCCCGCAGATGTCCCTCCGAGCGGCGCAAGCTCGGCCAGAGGTGCCGAGCATGCCTCGCCTCCAGCTCCTCCCTTCTTCGGGCGTGCTCCTCCAGCTCTTGATTTCACAGCTTTCGCTGGCGTGAAGAGCTCTGGGCTGTGCGGCTGCGCCTGCCAGTCGTCGAAGTCCAGGTTCCGGGCGAAGTTGGCGAGCCCCAAGGGAGGGTCCAGCTCCGGTCTTGGCTCGGAAGCGGGAAGCGGGGAAGCACAGAGGCTGTTCTGTCGCATGCATCGCAACTCGAGATCACGACCATCCTTCGCAAAGCCCTGAAAGCTCTCGTAAGCGCTCAAAATCCGTGGCCCACATCCGACACATGCAAAGTCTGCTCCGGGGAACAGGTAGAAGCGCCAGATATCTCCTGCAGACCAACTCCGTCGCAGCAGTGGCTTGGGCAGCGGGAGGATGATCCTGTGGTGTGAGCTTAAGGCTTAAAGGGTGGAGGGTGCGACAGGGAAGTGCTAATTGCCGGCAGTATGGCTCCGACCCGATTCAAGCAAAATAAAAATCTGTACCGGACGAGAGTCGGTGCAGCATGTCTCCGGCGCAGCAGCATGTCTGCCTAAAGAGTCTTGCAAGGGTCACACGAAGTTGCTCAACAGGTACAGATCTCGGAAGCAACAGGCAAAACGTGATGAATGAAACGACTGTAGGATGCATCCGCGAACTTTGCAGCTGCAAGAGACGTCGTGGTGCATGGCCCAGCCTCCGCATCCAGCAGGGGCCGTGAGTCCGGGCGGAGCCGGAACAGCGCTTGCAAGTGCTCCGGGAGGCCGCTGCGCAGTGGCCGCCAGTGAAGGACCTCTGATGCGGAAAACTTCAAGTGCCCCTACCTGATGACCCTCTGCGATGATCTGGGAATATCTGGGACAAGTTATGGCAGTACTTCGGTTGCCAGCGGCCTTTTGTCTCTGGGTCCCGGGCTGCCCGGTCTGGACGCAGCAGCGGTGCAGTCAGGGCATCGTACGCGCCCGGTCCCACGGAGAAGCCTGTTGAATGGACTTTCCAAGTTGAACATGCAAGTCCGTTCAGGCTGGACAGATGCGTCGACGTGACACTAATTCCGATTCCGAATGCTCTGCTCGCTTCTGGCTTCCTGTTCGTTGGACGGAGCAAAAGCTAAGAGGCTGTCCGTCGAGTGGCGAGCCCAGTTGCATGCGGACATCGGAAGAGGTGGCGGTCGGGCGCATGCGCGATTGCGGATACCGGCTAGTACAGAGCTCGAATGACAAAGGTAAACGCGACTTGTAGAGCACAGACACAACGTTAGCAGACTCAAAAGCAGAACATCACAGCCCATGTTTTCCATTCGTGCGTGAATATGCAAATGCGGCAAGAAGTGCCTGTGCCCGAAGCTGGCGCGCGGCCGCGCATCAAGGCCTGTGCCCGGAGTACCTCGTAGCTCTCCTGCAGGAACTTTGCACTTTGCAAGTCGCTGTCTGTGTTACCAAAGCGAAAGAGCGAAGGCGCATCGCAGCGCTTCGCTCCTCCGGAGGGATCGTCGCGGCGGGGCTCCGTGCTCGAGTGACCTCCCACTGCGGCTCCAGGGGTCCGTAGCGGGCAACCTGGGACGGCCCAATCAACACCGCAGCTGGCGGAAAACGAATAAGAAGTTGACCCTACTTTCGCAGGCCGGGCGATGTCTGGATCCTACGACATCTTCTTGCATCCCTAGGAAAGTTCGCGATCCGTCGGGCCGCGTAAGTCGGGACCCGCTGTGTCGGATCCTCTCGGGCAGCACCGAGGTCGGCGGCGAAGCCTCGCGGGTAGATGTGGGCCTCGGCACGCTCGAACCCCAACCCCCAAACCCAACCCTCGGCCCTCGGGTTTCTCTTTTTTAATGAAGGGCTTTTCAGAGCTTGGCGAATCTCCCGGCAGAAATGCCATGTCCGTGGCCGTGGCCCGGCCTGGGACTGGCGCAGGTCGTAGCTGGCCGGACCCGGGGTGGCCTCATTCAGAAGCATCGATACACCCAAATAACATCCTACATACTCCGGCAGCGCAAAAAACAGCGAAAAAAACGCGGCGCCTTCTCCTCCTTGGGAAGGGGCTCCGGCCCTATGAGGGCGGAAGGTCCTGCGTAGACAGTGCTTGGCAGAGTCTTAAGTCGAGCTCGTGAAGAAGTCGAAGACAAGATCTCCAGCGAGGAAGAACGCTGAAACGCTGAAACAGTCTGCAAAATACTGAGCTCCATCTCGCAGGCCTGGCAGGAGCTCTGAGGTTTCGTAGGCCCCTGGGCCCGGCTTGTCGTCGGCCTTCGCAGCGAAGTCAGGCTTTAGCACTCTCATAGAGTCCGGATGGAGGCATCGTCAACATGGGCAGTTCGAGATTCCTGCACTGGTCTCATCTGCGTTGCAAAGACATTCCAGAACTTGCACTAGCAAGCTGAGCAATGGCGAGTGGCCAGCCTGTGGACCCCCTGCTCGAAATCAGTAGCCTTTTGCGGATAAATGACCCCCTTTGCAACGGCCTGGAGGAAACACCTCTGACTTCACATCTCCGGCAGAAGCCCTGCCCAAGGAGGAAAGGCCAGCGGCCGCCTGCAGCCTTGTGAGGCGCCCGGTCTCCGCATAGCAGTGCTCCTGCGAGGCCAGGGCAGAAGCACGTTACGAGTAGGAGTGTCTCATCCAAGATCAAGATCGGAGAAAGCTCCCTCGCTGCATAACAAACGGAAGACCTGCTTCCGGCTTGCTTCAAGGACTGTGGGAGGCGCAGCGATCCTTATCTGCCGGGCCCAGGGTTGCCACCGGCACAGTCACCTGGTCAAGTTCCGAAGATCTCTGATAACACCCTTAGCTACCCTGCAGGTAGCTGCCTCCGGAAGCCATCACAACGGAGGTGCGGAGAGTCAGTGTTGTACAACTTCTGCGCCCACTTAAGCTGACCATGGGCCTCCACACGCTCGGAGGTCCAACCATCGTAGCACCTTCTCTGGAGCCCGAGGACAGCTGAATTTGCATCACTTTGGCACCGAGTCCTGCTTTCGCCAAAGGGCAAGGGTCTCTTCGCGGCTGCATCTGCATCACGCCTTCCCTCAGTCCCTCCTTGGTTGGAAAGGCATGCAAGGCATGCGGCCACCTCCGACAACCCGCAAGAGCACGTAGAATCTCACAGGGATTGTGACAAGTGTCTTCTGGGCTGCGTCTTTGGCAGCGGCAGGATCTTCCCTCCGCGGCACTTGAAACCTGGAACAGCAACATCTTGGCTCTCTCCGCTGAATGTCTCGTCAATCCGAATGTCTTCACAGTCTTCAGGGTCAAAATAGCCTTGCCCAATCCAACACGGAGTAACGTAAAGTTGTAGAAGGCAGCTGATTTGTTGTCGGGAATATGACCTGAAAGATCCCAGAATCCAGGTTTGCAGCCTTTGCAGCTTCTGCGAGGCTGATCACGGAACGCATTGAATGGCTCCGTGCTGCTGGAAGTGTACCGAATCTCCAAATCCCCGCAGTGCCCTGGAAATTCGGCCAGCCAAAGCCAAGCTGCTCGGTGCAGGAGCGGGGGGAGCCGGGGGAGCAGGCGCCTCCTCCGCCTCGACAAATTCACATGTTCCGACGTCCGGTGGGATGTCTCAGATTGACCATCTGCCCCAAACCCGTCCATCCCGAGACACGAAAGGAAACGAAGCTCCAAGACCACCTGGCCTCCTCAGGAGGCTCTTGCGGCGTCGCGCGGCCCTTGTAGCCTGGAGAAACTCAAGGGCAAAGTAAAAGGACCGGCAACAAGTATCTGACCCGATGTAGTTGGTGTAGTTACACCAGATACCTTCCACAGGGAGCTGTTGCTGCCACTTGCGCCGAGTGGCGATCAAAGCTTGGTGCTCCTTTTGCCAAGGATGGGCGGAGTGCCTCAAACTTCCTTGGTGCATGATGCTGCCACTAACTCACTAGCTGGCAGTGTGCCCAAGGCTTCAACGATACGGAAGAGTCAGCCTCTAACAGCATGCAAGCACTGTGAAAACCCAGTCGACCTCAACTGACACGTCACAGAGAACCCTGCAAACGTTGCTATAGAAAGGGCAGGTCCGTTTCTAGCATGCGGCAGGCCACTGGCAGCAGGGCATAACAGCGCAAAGAGAAGATCCGGTCGTGTGAAAAAGCAAAAAGAGCTGCGCACTGCGCTTCCGAGCGGCGGTTCGTAGGCTCCTGGACCGGGTCCAAGAGATTCCGCAGAGCCCACAGAGAGCAGCCTCGAGACTTCGACTCTTCTCCCCTTTTGGTGCACTTGGTCAGCTTTTTGTTAGAGGCTCTCTAGTCTCGATAGGGCACCTAAGTTACCCAAGTGTCCTAGTGCCCTCTAGTGCTCCAGTCTCGAAAGCTGAGGGGCTCGGAGAGGTCGCTGCCAGCAGCAGTGCTGGCATCGTCGAGGAAGTCATCACCCGCCCTTAGCCCAAAGTTGCAAGCGAGAGAGCAGCACCCTTCAGTTGCGCCCGCAGGCAGTCGAACCATCTTGAACCCAACAGCAAATCTCTTGGCCATGCTGCGCTTGACAGGTGTCTTCCTCCTGTAACAGAGCCTGGCAGGAGTCAAGGTTAGAATAAAATGCTGATCCGAATCTCAGTCATGAGACTGAATGCTCTCTGAATACTCTCCGTAGAACGCAGGACAACAAGCTGACAAGCAGTTACTATCAAGGCTAGGCTTTTCTTAGGTCCGCTCGCACCTGCCATGCGGCTGCGATGCCTTCCAGGCCGGGTTTGGTTAAGTGCGCCGCAGCCTCCTGAAAGGCTGAGGAGAGCAACAGGCTTCCATTTCCACATGGGTAGTTGTCAAAATCATGGTCCCTTTGGGGGTACCCTAAATAATAGGTGCCGTATTATAATAAGGACCCAGAAAGGGACCATAATTTTGACACCCACCCACATAGACATAGCAGCGTGGCAGTTTGCAAAATATGGCCAGTCTGCTCTGAAACCTGGGAGCCTCGGACCCGAGCTGGGCTGAAAGGCCGCAAGCAGTCGTCCTTCGAGTTCGCTTCTGTAGCGATGTGCTTCAGCCAACGGCGAGCCTGCAGAAACTGCTGGAGAAAAGGTTGAAGTTCTGCCGTGGAGGCGAAAGTCTGACACGAAACTCTGTTGCTCACGGCAGACAAGACCACAAACATCACCCTCGCGCCTCTTGGATTTGTCGAGGCTTCAGGGAATCAGGCGGGGCGATGACGGCGCCTGTCCACGAGGGGTTTGGTGGACTTTGTCTCACGGAGGTAGGAGACTGGAGGTCTCCTGTTTGTTTGCTCTGTTCAAAGGCTCTTCTAAGCGACTGGTGCGGCTGCTGCTTCCGTGGATTTCACCACAGGCCGTGCAAAGGCGATGTCATCGAACGCCGAACACAATGCCGCGAGCCCATCGCCTGGAACATCCCAGCTAGCTTTTACATCGAGGACAGATGCCTTTGCTGACGACGGATGTCGACAAGAAGCTGTCGGATGGATGCAGGAGCGGCGCCTGGCAAGTTCGGGTGGTCCGGAGTCGCAGCACGAAGCCAGCTAGAAACGGAATGCTCACCGTGATCTCCTGCTTGCAGAGCCTCCGCCTCTTCGAGGCGTTTCGCTGGCCAACGTGCCTCCAAAAAGAGCGCCGCATGGGAAGACTTGGCGGGGAACGGCCTTTGCTTTGCTGCCTCCGTGGAGAAGCGGCCGCCAAGGGAGCGGCCTTTGGCTCCTGCAGAGGCTTCTCTTCGGTGTCGGCTCGGGGGGGAGTGATCCTTTGAGCACACGCAGCCTGTCGAAGTGTGTTTGCGCGGGCCGGTCCTGCAAGCACATAGCAGGGCCCCGTGCTGGCACACATAGGGTGTCGATTCGAGCAGAACCAGAGCGCTGCAGGTGCCTCCATGTCGGCAAGGCGGCGGCGCGGCACCAGCGTCCAGGAATCTGGTCAAAGGAGCACAGCCACCGGGTCGCTCCATGTCCTACCTTGATGGTCTCCCGCCTGTTCCTGGAATCGGGCCCGACCTGGAGCCAGGGAAGGGATAGTGACAAGAGCTAAAAGCGATGTGCAACGCTGAAGCGCAACCGTTGTCTGTCGCGGTGTCAGAGCTTTTCCGAAACTGCAGAGATCAACACCCTTGCTCTGCTGCCGTGCCGCGACCTACTCCAGTGCCACACACTCCGTGCTCAGAGCAGCAAACAGAGTCTTGTCTAGAGACCAGTTCTAGACAAGTTTCAGGCTGTGCCAAACGGAGACACTTTGCGCAGCCTTCTGTGTACATCTGTGTATTCTTCGCCACACTCCGGGCCTCGCTGGACGGGCAGTTCCAGAGATGCCGCGTCTCCTCGCAGCTGAGCCTCCGACAAAAAGGAGGCAGAATCCCTCCACCCGACAAAGCGCAAAGAGTGCAAACATGCGAACGAGGCGCTTATGAAGACTATGCAGTGGAACCTATATTCTATAATCAGACAATCATGTGGCGCCTCGATAGCTTGCAATGCATGCTCGGTCTCCAGCAGCTGCTGGTCCAAATCATCCAGCGCATCGACCATTGTGAATTGCGAATTAAGGTACTGAGGTTGGCTGTCGCACACGGATTCCGCCTCGAGAAATGTCATGGCTATCATGTTCGTTTTGTGGGCGACAGGGTCTACGGAGGGCGGCAGTAAAGTCGGACTCACGTACACTTCGGAAGGTGCCACTGACTTGTCGTTCAGCTTCGCACATGGTCCATGGTGCCCCACTTCTCCACCTACCTCTGCGAGTAAAGCATGTAGCAAGTCGTGCATAAGCCATTAGGGCCAGGAAGTATGCTGCACGCTTCCAGGGAAGACATCTTTTTTCGGACACGTCGCGGGGACCAGTCCTGAATCCTGAGGTCCGTTGACGGGCCCAGGGTTCAGGCGGTCCGAGGGGTCCGAGGTCTCCTCTTCGCAAAGAGGTAATCCTCGATCAAGACGAAGTCCAAGTCTGGAAGCTCATCCAGCATCTTCAGGCATTCTCTTGCGCCTGAGCGGGCCGAGAATCGAGGGCAGCCTGCCACTCCGAAATTTACACTCTTCCATCAAAGCAGCTCTAGCGGTACTGCTTCAGGGGCAACACTGAAGTAATCCTGCCCTTTCAGCTAATACGTCGTCCTGCAAAGGGCATCTGGGGCCGGCACTGGCACGGCAAATGCTCGGTTCTTTCAAGCCCCCATACCGGAAACTCCTGTAAAGCCGACGGGAGAACTTCCGAAACTCTCTGCGTCAAGGCTCGGTTCACGATGGGTTTGCCCTTCGAGTTGAAGCTCGTGTTGATCAGAGCCGCTAGGCCGGTCAGACGACCCACAGCCAGCCTTGGATCAGCTAGGAAGACCAGGTCGAGGTTTGAACATGGCTTGGGGTTGGGAATTCAGGATTTGCTGCGATGAGTCTTTTGAGTTTCGCAGGTTCCTCTTTCTGAGGGCTCGAGGCCTCAAACATGGCCTGACCGGCATCGACGACTCCACTACGATCAAGACTGACTGCTTGCCGTTGTGAAATGTGAAATCGCCGTTCTTGCACAGAGTGCATGCGGTAGCAAGCGCCATCGGATCACAGATAGGCACCCACACTTCCAGCATGTGCAGAATCTACAAGACGGAAGGAGCTTTCTATCTGCCGAGCATCAGAAGGGCGTGAATCCAGGGTTCGTCACCCGCGCTCACCTGGGATGGGAGAGCAGTCCTTTGCAAAGAGCACACGAAGATGGTGGAGCACTGACGCCTCACCTTGCCTGGACTTGGTCGCGAGGCATGCAGTCGAGGCACAGATTGATGCCTTCGCAGCTACGGCAGGCCTAGATTAGATTGGATCCCGAGGGCTAAGAAGCTGGTTCTCCGGGGCAACTTCAAAATCGCATCCCGGGCCGCAGTACTTGATCTGGTTTTTTGACGACATGTAGCAGCCTACTGCAGAACCTGACCTCTCTCTGTTCAAGATCAGGGGTGTCATCACGGAATTCCCTGCCAAAACCAAAAGGTCCGACAGGGCCAAATCGCACTCCCAGAACCAGAAGCACCAGATGCAGTGACTCTTGACTTCTGGTGTGCAGATTGGGAGAGGGCAGACAGGGAGACTCGTCAAGCTTCCTTCTACTCTCAATCTGGAACTGCCCTTCCTTTGCTTTGGCTGTCCTGGCGGTGCCGTCCAAATGTGCCATGGCCGGAAACTGCTTGCGGATCTCGGGCAGAACTTGAGGCGCCATGGTCCTCTGCTCGGCGGTCGTCTGCTTCGAAAGGGGAGGCTTACGTTCGCTGCGTCGATGCAGCGAAGGCGCATGTACGGCGAGTGGACGGCTCGACCGAACACCTGCACCATGGCCTGCAGGCCGGTCAGGCTCTGAGCTCTCACTCGATGGAACCGAGCTATGGCCTAGGGATGGCCTATGGCATGACTGGGCCTTCTCTTTACCGAACCATGAGGGCTCCCTCGGACGCCAGCTCACGTCTCCCGGTTCGTGACCAGAAGGATCCAAGTCGTGGCAGGCTACTAGCAGGATCAAATATGCCTGACATGTCAAGAGTATCAATCAAGAACATGCAGACGACATCATACGCAAAGCCACAGACTCCTGGCGGGGAATGGTACGGGAAAGAACTCCGGTGCGTTCCCTCTGGGTCGTCATGCTAACTGTGCTCTGAGACTCAGAAACTTCCCCAACAGCCTGGTAATACCATGGTGTTCCTGCGTTTAGAGAATGTGGACTGCTGCTCCCCGGGAGCTCCACGTGTCTCAGTATTATGTGCACAGAATCCTGGCGGCGCGAGTCTCCCGCTGCAGTGCCGTGCATATTGAACGCTACTTGGAGGGTCGGGGGACTGAGTAACTAGTTATTTTATAGACTTATAAGCATCATAACCACAATTAGGATCCCTTTCAGGGTACTTATACGTCCACTTCTTACCTACTTACTAAGTCCCCCGACCCTCCAAGCGCTCTATTAATCCGGGAGGAGTCGCCTGATTCGTGCGCTATGCAAACAGGATCCATGTCAATCGGAGCAGTGCTTTGGGGAAACGATTTCGGATGTTGTTCTGCATCTCGCAAGGTAGGGGGGTGGACACAGTCCTGCTCCCGAAACGTGCCAGGACTTGGTTGAGGGATTCGAGCTGGAACACGACTCTCGGCGCCGTGCGATCAGAGACGTGCTGAATCCACGCTGGCTTGCCCAGGAGATGGGCATGGGCCGGCCATGGGTGTCACTGCGAAGGCAATACGTGCTGCAAAATATTCGCACGTGGGTGTACTGACAAACGCCCTCGAATGCAACAAAACGTTCTGGCCGCCAAACTGTAGCCCCCGAAACGCACGATGTGTACGCCAATGTCACAAGAAACAAGGAACAGAACCTTGGAACCTTGTACTGCAAGTGCTTATCAGCAAAGGTGCCCCGAAAACTAGTTCATTGCAAAATCCTCAACGCTGATCGCAACTTGCGGATATTGTCTCAACCCTAAACCTATGACCTATGCGTTTTGGAGTGCCAGGTTGAGGGGTTCTCATCTGGGATCATGGGCCTCGTCCGCCACCATGGGTGCAACGGGCCGATACCAGGCTCCTCGGCACTTGGCGCGGTACGGTGTGAAGCTAAGGTGCAGGAAGGTGCACAGTTCAGACGGGCCCCAGCCCTAGCCCCTTCGCTGCCAAAACTCGGGCTTTGAGCCGGTTCATGCGGTCTCGCATCTCCTGCCAAGACTCCCTCCGCTCTCCAAGATCGACAAGGACTCACGAAACTCTGCCTGAATGCCCTCTGCCATTTCCCGTCTTGAACTTTGATGGGCTCTCCCCCCTCGACCTGGCTCTTCCGGCCTCGGAATCCGGCACTGCCAGCAGCGACCGGTGGCCCAAAGCCCGCGGACCAAACTCCTCGTTCTTACACCACAAGAGACAACAAAAAGCATGGGCTCCTCAGAGCTCTGTCCTGTCGACCGCGGACCACTGCAATGATGGGTTTGTCAGCAGTCCGGTTAGGATACCTGCCGAAGTCATATCGTTGGACAGAAAGGCTTGGTTGTCCTGACACAAATTCCGAAGATGAGACCTGTCAACCACGAGGCACAAAGCTCTGTTTCATCGATGCCAGCTGCTGCGCATCAGTTTTTAACATGCTCAAAATCCTTGGCGCCAAGAGCTTCGCAGTGTATGATTTCCTCATGACCCAGTGCGGACAGTAGCAGCTCTTAAAATCTTCACAAATTCTCAAAGCTTCTCGCCTCTGCCAGGCAGGGCCGCCTGCCAGCAGTTCTGCGAGGTAGTCGATGCCACCCAGCTTTGAGAGGCGCCTCTCGAAAGCTTCTACACCGGGCCAGAATCTTCAGCTCGAGCTATCGATGAGCTTTGCTGCCTAGCGTCAACTTACCGCTCAGGCAGCTTCGACCAAACCCTAGATTCCAAAAAAGCAAGCTTGAAGCTAAGCTCGAAAGTCCCAACAGCCCCAAGATCTAAATCCCAGCCTCATGCCTGTGCAAAGACACTGCTCCCAGCGTCAGCTGTCGAACTTGACTTATAAAGGAACCGAAAACTGTCCCAACATCCCCAACGCAGGCTCGGAGTGGTGAACACATTGGGCACCGCGGTGCATGGCCTGAGTTGTCTCCACGACGGCTTATAGAACGAAAACTTCTGCTTGCTGTACCGGGGAGGAGATGCGTTGATGTACCCAGAAGCACGATGGGGAGGGGACCAAACAGCAAGGAGACAAGGTGCTGAGCTCGCTTTTCTGCGCAGCAGAACCACTGTGCTGATTTGAAACACGAACTTTGTCTCCTTGATTTCACTGTATGCTGTTAAGTCACGTCCAACCCCTGATATCTAGATTCTGAAATTTAGTATGATATGATAGCAAGTGTCGCTAGAGCCCGAAAGAGCTCGCTGTGATAAAGATAAAGTGATACTCTTGCGGGTCGCGTTCGACCTCCAACTTGCCCTGCGTAATGCCAATCAATCATACTTATGGGAGTCTCGACCTAAGACGACAGCACGCTGTAAACGTCATTTTAGCCAGCATCTACTTAGAAGACGCAGAAACAGCTAGCACAGCGCAACACATGCCACAGGCAACTCAAGGGCCGAATGGGTCAAAGGCAACTCCGAAGCCGAGAACGGCCGGTGAGACAGTGAAACTGCTGGAATGCCAGCCGTCACGAGCGGCTGGATAAACGTGGAATTTCGGAAAGGAGGTTTGGCAGAAGGAGCACTGCAATCTCCAGCATCTGTCAAGACTTGCTCGGAGCTTTGAAGAAGCGATCCGGAGCCATCGCGAGTGTCGTGGACCGCATCCCAGGACCGTCAGGGTATGTCCACCACACACAGCTCCGCGCACTTGGCCTCTGCCGCGCGCGAGCGACACATAGGGCAATTGTTTGACGCACGCATCAGAAACCAGTTCATGATGCACTTCTCGTGGAAAACATGTCCACATGGCAGGCGGGCCACGACATCTTCTGCGGAGAAGTCCTCCAGGCAACATGAACATGTGCTCTCGGCAATGCAAGGCTTAGATTTCACCGAGATCTTTCCCAGAACCGTCTTGACTGGACCGCTTGGAGCAGTCTGAAGCTTCATAAGCTCGAAGTCTTGGCCGCTCTGGCCGTCCATAGAATTGAAAACCACGGAAGACCAGATTTGCTGCCTCTCTGCCTCGGGCTCCACGCGCTCGAACCGAGCCAGGCAGCAGAGGGGAACAAGACATGCACAGCAACAACAGCAAGTAATGGACCCCATCCCAATAAGCACTTCCTTCCAGTACATTGTGTCGGGATAGATCGCGCCGACGACGGGGGTGATAATAAGCAACAGGAACCAGCCGCAAAGAAAGTACAGCACTCGTCCGAAAACCTCGTTGTCGATCTGAGTCTCCGCCATTGCGCGGAACTCAAGCTACAGTTTCTAGGCTCTGTGTCTTGCGCAATGTAGCTCCTTGATAGCGTTCCAGTCATGGGACGTATGCTAAAGTAGTAAACCCACGACAGGCCACAGAAAAGAGGCGCGTGACCTTCACATGGTCCGTGCCCTAAGCCAAGATGTCCACGAAAAGGTGAGAGGCTGAAGCTCTCGCTTGTACAAGCTAGACAAATGCAACAACTGGTCAGACCTGCGGACTAGAGACTGGGTGCAGGTCAAGACTAGAAGTGCAGCTCCGCAAGGTTCGGGTTCGGGCTTAGGTGTCCGGTCCCATTGCCTGGCCCCGTGGCTCCGAGCCATATGTGGCAGCAACTCGAGATCCCAGAGGGGGAAGCCACGATACCTCGGGCAAGAGTCGATACATACAGTACCACACAAAGGTGAGGAAATCCACAACACTGGCTCCCGGTGCCTAAAGCTGAATACTAAAGCTGTGGAGTGGCGCAAGTTTTGGCTGAGTCGCTGCAAGCGCTGCTCGCCTGGCGGAGGCGGTATCACGGACCAGACGCCGCCGACGGTGAGACCTGGGGAAGACATAACAGGATCAACGGTCAGTCTTCAATACAGCATTTGATAGTCATGAGTCATGAAGATGTAATCTGCGAAGTGTTTTAACCAGGATGAAATCGAGCATGCCAGCCTGTATTGACACAGTCAGCAAGGCACGATGCACATTAGAGCATGTCTGCATCTATCTGTTGCGTCTATATATATATATATATACAAATACAATACAGATTATATGTATATGCGTCTGTATGCATATGTGTATGTGTATATGTACATATGTGCATATGTGCATACATGGATGTATGTGCATAGGTCCCTGTCCAGGTCGGTGTCCATGTCCATGCATGTGTATACCTGTATGTGTGTGTGCATGCATACATGCATACAATGCCCGGATGGTGCATGGATGGATGGATGGATGGATGGATGGATGGATGGATGGATGGATGGATTCATGGATGCAGGCAGGCAGGCAGGCAGGCAGGCAGGTAGGCAGGTAGGTAG